GTTAAATTAATCAAAAAAGTATACATAATAGTTTTCCTCCTGTTCTTTTCCTAGCAAACACAAGCTAACTTAACTACACACAAAAAAACCCAAACTCATTGCCGTTGAGTGGATTCTTACTCATAGTGACCCTACAGGACAAAGTAGAACTGCCTCATAGGGTTTCCAAGGAGCAGCTGGTTAGTCTGACTGCCGACCTTTTGATTAGCAGCCTAACTCTTAACCACTATGCCACCAGGGCTCCAAATTTAACTACAGAATTGATTTTAAAAGGTTTTTGTGAGCTGACCTAGCACCTAAACACTCCTTACAGCACTATCTCATTATCAGACATGTTTTACCAATTTACCAGCTGTTAGAATACAACCTCTGCTTTTATTTTAGGAAAGAAGCTGTGGACTAGGAATACCACATGAGCACAAGCCAGGGGGCAGGAGAGACAGGAGCTGCAAGTGCAGGAATGCCAGCAAAATAGGCCAGAACTTAAAAGTCAACAGACAGCTTTCTTGTACATCAGTTATCCTGAGCTTTCAGAATCAACTTATTCTTAAAGAAAGACAGACAATTACTTGGAATCATCTTAGAAAGTTGGAAAAAACATAAAAACACAAGAGGTAAACATACTTGTACAACAAACCTATAAACTCTAAGGATCACTCTGTAGAAAAATGGAGCATGCCTAGTCACATTTAAGGCCCTAGCTTCCATAATTAATTAATGTGTAGCAAGGGGAAGATTTTTCTTGACTACTTAAGTCAGGAAAATTTCCCCTCCTAGAATGGCTCTCATTGGCAGATATTTTCTGAGAGGACAGCTGGGTTAAGAGAGGCCTATGGTCATTTTATGTCACTGGCTCAAAAGAATGTTCTCTTTCTCTCTCTTTTTTTTTTTTTTTTTGCCAATCCCTATGGCTACATCCCACCTGCTACCCCAAAAAAATGCTCATAGTAATGGCCTAAAGGGACAGGAATCACCACAAAAGAAATACACACAAGTGCATGCACATCTTATTCAACTCGTTGATCGAATCGGCCTGTAGTGGTTTTTCTCGACAGAACTTGTCAGCTTAAAATTATAAATGACTTCAAAACAGCTGGTATCTCTTTCATTTGTCTATTAAGGTGCCCAGAATGTCTAACATAGGAAGGAGAAAATGATAAAATGTTCCAAGAATCAAAACCCCTTGTTTTACCTTTATTTTACTGATAAAGTCCACCCCTAACTTGATTGTGTTAGGCAGTATCTTCTGCTTATTCTATTCTGTGAGATCAACTATTAAAGAGAAATCAAACCAAAAAAAAAAGAAAGAAAATGAAACAGTATTACCTATGTACACAGTTAAGCTATAAACTCTGAAGCAGAACATGCTTACTGTGGTTAAAAGACATAAACCACATACAAATTTAGCAACAACTCATCATATTAGATATCATGACCTTTGGCATTTTCTAGTATCGTTTCAGAGAGCACTGGTAAGGATGCAAGAAGTAAACTAATCCCTTAATACCCATGTCCCAAAGAGCTGCACTTCTGAAATAGCCTCAAGAGAAGCAACATTTTTTCACACTTACTACTAAGGAACCAAAACAACATTTTAAAAGGAATACTGCACCCTGAAGCTATTACCCTGAGATAATCTTTGACCCCTGAACCAAAAATATCCCCTGAAGTCTTCTTAAAACCAAATAATAGTTTAACTTAACTAGTAAAAAAGGTCTGCCTTGAGCATTATGCTATTTTAAGAACTATACGGGATCAAATTGACAACAGCAACTTGCAAGACTGGATGGGAACCTTAGGGAGCACTGAGTTTGTTAATGAAGGAGGAACAACTTAGAAAAAGAGGGTGAGAATGGTTGCACAACTCAAAGAATGTAATCAATGTCACTAAACTGAACATGTAGAAATTATCATATTGGTGTATGTTTTGCTGTGTATATTCTCAACAACAACAAAATAAAATTTAAAGGAAAAAAAAAGAAATATTGCATGTTGTGGAAAAGTGTGGAGGCTCCTCAAAAAACTAAAAACAGAATCACCATACCCACTGCCATCGGGTCGCATGACCCAGCAATTCCACTCCCAGGGGTACATACAAGGAATTTTAAAAGCAGTGATGTGAACAGACCAATGTTCATTGCAGCACTATTCACAATAGCCGAAAGGTGGAAACAAGTTAAATGTCCATCAACAGATAAATGGATAAACAAAATGTGGTACATACATACGATCGAATACTCCTCAGCCAGAAAGAGAAACGAAGTCCTGATACATACTATCACATGTTTGAACTTTGAAGATATTATTCTGAGTGAAATAAGCCAGTCACAGAAGGACAAACATTGTATGACCTCACTTACATAAAATAACAATAATAGGCAAATGTATAGAGACCAAAATTTATTGTTACCAGGACCTGAAGGAAGGAAGAAAAGAGGGAGTCATTGTTTACAGAGCACTGAGTTTCTGTTTATGCTCATGGAAAATCTGGCATTGATCAAGGGTAATGGCTGCATAGCTGATAAATATAATTGATGTCACTAAGCTGCACTCTTATAAAAGTTGAATAGGCAAATGCTATGTGATATATATTTCTACAACAACAACAGAAAAAGAGAAGCGGCTGCTGATGCTGCTTATATACAACCAAACACGTCATGGGATTTCTTTCTTAGTTTGGAAGTTTAAGGTAATGGTTTCACAGGACATCCCAGTTAATTGGCCTAATATTGTGTTTAGTGCTTCTGTTCAACCTCCTAGTTCGTTGTATAGTGCCTGGGATCTGAAAAGCTAGCACATGGCAATGCAAGGTACAATAATTGATCTGTATTTGCCTGGAACAACAGAGGGAAAAGAAGAGTCAAGAATAAGAGGAGAAAATTGAATGTGTGGCTAATTGCCTCCATGAATAACTGCTCACTTTGCCATGAGACCAGAAGAACTGGAATGCTGCTCAGGTACCATTACTGATTATTTTGATCAAGGATTCTATAGAAGAATCCAGATCATAAGCAGTTGAAATGCAAAACAGATTTTCAAATTCTCATGGAACCCAAACTTTCTGGAGCCATTGAGGCTAGAAAAACCCCCAAAACTACTGCCCTGAGATAATCTTTAAACCTTAAACCAAAAATATTCCCTGAACTCCTTCTTTAAACCAAAAAATAAAACCAAACCACTGCCGTAGAGTTGATCTCAACTCATAGTGACCCTTTAGGACAGAGCAGCACTGCCCTATAGGGTTTCCAAGGCTGTAATCTTTACAGAACCAGATGGCCACATCTTTCTCCCACGGAGTTGCTGGTGGGTTTGAACTGCTGACCTTTTGGTTAGCAGCCCAGTGCTGAACCACAGCACCACCAGCTTAATTAGTAAAGCATGTCTGCCTTGAGCACTGTGCTCTATATTGGATCAAATTAACAACAGCAGTTAGACAGGTTAGATAGGAAGCTTAGGGGACAATGAGTTTATGTTAACAGTGGAAGAATAATGCAGAAAAGGAGTGTGAGAATGGTTACACAACTTGAAGTATGTAATCAATGTCACTGAATTGTACACACAGAAATTGTTCAATTTGTATGTTTTGCTGTGTATATTTTCAACAATAACAAAGAAATAAATTACCAAAAAAAAAAGAAGGAAATAGTGCATGAAGCACAATCATGGGTGAGGATGAGTTTTAATAGCACATCGGTCAAATAATAATACCTGCAACATACACTCCTAGGCAAAGTTTGAGGGTAAGGTGTCTACAGTTCAGAATGAAAAAGAAAAGACTAATGCAACCTATTCAATATTGTCTGTCTTCAGGATGGAAGTACATAAAAATGAGCTTCTTTTCTTAAATTAACTAAAAGCCAGCAAATAGGTCCTTCCTAATATGTGTTTTTAAAGCAGTATTTGCCGTTTAGGACGTGGGATTTCAAGCAACAGGCCTGGCTTCACCATACTGTAACACAAAGAAACAGAAACAACAGTGCAAGGCAACCCATGGCTTAAACTCACTGCCACAGAGTCAATTCCGACTCATAGCGACCCTACAGTACAGAGTAGAACTGCCCTGGAGGGTTTCCAAGGAGCAGCTGGTGGATTTGAACTGCCAAACTCTCGGTAAACAGCCAATCTCTTAACCACTGCACCACCAGGGCTCCGTGACTTAAAAGATACCTACAAAAATGTAGAAAATAAATAGTTCATAGGTGGCCCAGCTACAAACAGCTTCACAAATTCCTTTACCTCCGTCTGAAAGATTCAGGAGTGCAGCTGGTATCACAAAACACCCCAATGACATGGAGAAAAAGGAACAGGAGACTAGTATTAAATACTTAGGTGGTTACTGGTATTTTAAGCCAGAAAAGAACAAAACCATTCAGTTAAATTACTTCCTGGCATCTATGCAGATTATGGGAAAGCATATTTGCAGTGCCAAGAGAAAAAATGAAAATAAGCTAAACACTTTGAATTTGGAATCTTCGTATCAATCTCATTTTCATAGCTTCCCCATTAGATTTTTTACCCAAAATGAGGTAATACTTCAGTAACTACACATTTAAGAAGTAAAATGAGGATTCAAAGTTGGGCTGTCTGAGTAGGCCCTTTCTTTTCCATTTTCTTTCTTACCCGCCTGTCTTTTAATAAGACAAATTTTTGGCAGGAACATAGAAGGTATCTAGAACATCTAAATGAATTAGACAAGGAAAGTCTAAATGAACAAACCCTGGCACTTGTAAATGAAGCAGTCTCTTAAAACTAAAGAGCTGAAAAAAAAAAAAAAGAGCTAAATAGTATAATGCTTTCTGATAAAGATTTCACTTCTTAAAAAATGAGATACACAGTTCTCAAGGATCATTAATGCAGTTACTCTAAATTAGCATCTTAAAATTAAACAGAAGCTTTGAAAGAAATTTTTAAATAAAACCATTAGCGGACACAAGCCCCATATACAGTTCTTTAGCAGATTTAAGTTTCTCATTACAATCAATCCATGTACAATTACTTACTTGCTTCCTTCTGTAATGAGTAAATTGAGAGAGGCCTAAAACAGTTGCAACAGCACCTCCTCCAACAAGAATAGTCCCTTTCACTGCCTTCTGAAATGCCATTTCTTAGCCTACAAAGAAAAAAAAGGAAACAAGAAGAAGTTAATTGGGATTTTTATTGCATAACAATTCCAATAATAAAAAGAGACTGTGTAGATTATCAAACTTAGGTAGAAAACAAAACATAAAATAAGGAAGTTATTAACATGCCAATTTTATACTACAACCCAAAATCAAACAAACAAACCAAAAAAAAGTCTACATAAGACAGTTGATTATATGAAAGTTACTGCCCAAAGAGAATTAAAGAAAGAAAAGCAAATTAAGAGACAACGGAGGATATTTAAAAGTATAAAGTCAAGACAGCTGTGAAAAGAGATGTTATTGTGTATTTGACAAAACTGCTTGCTGTACTTGCAAATTTGTTCAACAGCTAATCCCCTTCACAAGGAGGACTGGGAGAAATCTCTGCCACTCAACATGACAATGACCCTCCTGCCTGCCTTAGGTTCCTTCGCAAACATTTAATTCAAATTGTAGTACAACTCCCCTCCAGAGTTTTTTCCTTCCTTAATGAAGTTCTTGGGGACCGGGCTGCACACTGGTCAGGGTGGCAGTTTGAATCCACCAGCCGCTCCTTGGAAACCTTATGGGGCAGTTCTACTCTGTTCTATAGGGTTGCTATGAGTTGGAATCAACCGGATGGCAACAAGTAATGAAGTTCTCACCAAAACTAAAAGCCAGCACACATCTTTACCCCTAAAAAAGTCTACACTTTACAGATACAAAGTCAATGGAAATCATGCCTTGATACCTTCATAAAGTGACCAACTGAACATTTTTGTAATTTCTTTTAGTAGAAAAACTTTAAAAAAAAAGTTTTCTTTGAGAAAATGTTCTACATCCTCCCTGGTGAGTAGCGTCTGGGGTCTTAGAAGTCTGTGAGCAGCCATCTAAGATACTCTACTGGTCTCAGCCCTTCGGTAGCAAAGGAGAATGAAGAAAACAAGATACAAGGGAAAGATTAGTCCAAAGGACTAGTGGACCACAACTACCACGGCCTCCACCAGACTCAGTCCAATACAACTAGATGGTGCCCGGCTACCACCACTGACTGCTCTGACAGGGATCACAACAGAGGGTCCCGGGCAGAGCTGGAGAAAAAGTGTAGAACAAAATTCTAAATCACAAAAAAGGATCAGACTTACTGGCCTGACAGAGACTGGAGAAACCCTGAGAGTTAGGCCCTGGGACACCCTTTTAATTGAGTAATGAAGTCACTCCCGAGGTTCACCCTTCAGCCAAAGATTAGACAGCCCCATAAAACAAAACAAGACTAATGAGGCACAACAGCCCAGGGACAAGGATGAGAAGGCAGGAGGGGACAGGAAAGCTGGTAATAGGGAACTCAAGGTCGAGAAGGGAGAGTGCTGACATGTCGTGGGGTTGTTAACCAACGTCATAAAACAATATGTGTACTAACTGTTTAATGAGAAACTATTTGTTCTGTAAATCTTCATCTAAAGTATGATAAAAAAAATAAGTTTTCTTTGAGCCAGAGTTGCATGATCTAGGGGTAAGCCTCTGAATCAAGGCTCCTTCTCTGCTCACTGAATATTTCTAAATAAACTTCTGCAATGTTAAGTGCTGGCTCTTGACTTTCTTGCTTAAAAAACATTTCACTATTGGACTGATGGATTCTTGTAAAGTTTTTTTGATTACTTAAAATTATTCTTCATCTCAGAAACCAATCAAAAACAAAAATGAATAAACATGAAAATTCCACCAAAAAAACCTCTTGTCAGTTTTTATTCTGTTAAACATAAAAATATAACATTGTATGATCATCTACAAATGCATTCAGCTTTTGGGTTGATACTGAGTAATTTGACCTACCTAAGACTTTCCATTCACAATAGCAGCTGGCACACCCATATCTTACGGAGAAGCCAACACACTGTTTTCCCATATAGGTGGCGGTTTAACCTGTCTGAACAGCATACGTTATACTCTACAGGTATCTCATGACTCAATTTTAAGATTAAGATACTAAAGAAAATACACAGTAAAACCTGCGAAATCTGGAACCTGTGTAAGGAAGAAACCTGTTAGAGAAGAAAAACTCACAATATTTCCAATAAAGCAAGTGACAGAAATGTAAGATTGCACGCTGTTCAAAGGCAGAAAACTTGCGAGACCTGGGAAAACAAGGCAGCCCTGTTGAGTTTCGGCTCTCACAGGTTTCACTGTAGTATCTTACCATAAATTAAGATACAGTTAAATGTTTAGGTTCATATTAAACCAAACCACTGCCGTCAAGTCAATTTTGACTCATAGCACCCCTATAGGACAGAGTAGAACTGTCCCCACAGGATTTCCAAGTAGTGGCTGGTGAATCTGAACTGCTAACCTTTTGGTTAGCAGCCAAGTGCTTAACCACTCTGCCACCAGGGCTCCAGGTCCGTATTAGATGGACAAACACCAGTTGCTGTTCAGTAGATGGCAACCTGATGTGTGTCAGAGTAGAACTGTGCTCCATAGGGTTTTCAATGGCTGATTTTTCAGAAGTAGATCACCAGTCCTTTCTTACAAGGTGTCTCTGGGTAGACCTGAACCTCTAACCTTTCTGTTAACAGTCCAGTGTTAACTCTTTGCACCACCAGGATAGTCTCTATTAGATGGATAGTCTCTATCAAATTTATCTATAATGATCCTAAATCAAAGAATTTCAGTGCATTTGATAATTACAATTCTATAGAAAATTCATTTTGGAATACTACAAATAATATATTAAAATCAAAAGGTTGGTATTTCTTAAAATTACATTTTTCCTATCACCTCATTCCTTCTAACAAACTCCTAAATTCTAAAATTCATCCTTTTATAAAGATTCTTCCCAGAAAAACACGTCACATGTATACGTATTCTACTGCTAGAGACCTCTTCTTTATTGTCCCTTCTCTGTATCAACCATCCTCTCCCAAATTATTCAAAATGGTTATGGGATGCTGGCTAGAGGCCTCCACTCATCATCCAGTCACTTGTAAGCAAAATCTTACATCCAAGGTTGCTCTGATAGTAAAAACCACAACTTAGTCCATGGAGAGCACACATTTGTCATAGCTTACCATCACCAATCCTGGTACTGTTACAAATGTTCACCTGAATTCACATATTATGCTATCAGTCCCAAAAGAAGACCTCGGTGTCAAACACTCACCCAAAGTATACGGCATGCTATCCCTAGGCTAACTAGGTCCCCCTGAATATGAGGGACAGAGAATTACAGTCCTACTTCTCTTTACCTAAACCATGCACATGCCTACCCTGTATAGCCTGGTGGTCTGTTGGATGTGAGCTTTGTGCCTGACTGACTTTAGCTTAGCATCAATGCTTCTGTCTTGTTGATAATGTCACTGATGATCTCACAAAGGATATCACACATCAACATAGCTGACTGAGGGATGATGATACACAACACAGTGAATGAAAATGTCCCAGCATCAGAGGTGTTCATTCAGCCCCGTTAAGTTTGGAGCTAGTCTTTCCAATGGTGTCGGTCCCTGAGTTCCTTGATCACATTATTGTATTGCTCCAATTTGATATGTCTGAGACCATAACTTGCTCATGGGTATTCTATTATGGGTTTTCTCAATGAGTCTTTATTTCTAATGAAAATCTGCATTAATATTATTTTGTAGAGTTAAGAGATGGTGGTGTAGCGGTTAAGAGCTACCGCTGCTAACCAAAAGGTCGGCAGTTCAAATTCACCAGCTGCTCCTCGGAAACCCTATGGGACAGTTCTATTCTGTCCTACAGGGTCACTATGAGTTGGCATCGACTCGACAGCAACAGGTTCATAATCAATAGTTTCCTTTTTTGATAATTTCATAAAATAACCTATGCTTAAGGAATCATTATTTCTACTGTGATCAAATCCATCCATCAGGTCATCTATCTTGTTGTACAGAATAAACCACTCTTACAGATAACTTAAAAACAAAAGCACTGAATCAGTTTCACCTGGCCTTCCTAAACTGTTATCATATTAATATTGTGAATGTTATAATGACAATACTTGCCAGTTATTGAATATTTGGTAAGTAATAGCTACTATCCTTTTCTTTACCCACATCAGCTCATTTCACACTTACAATATTCTAGTTTCATAAAAGAGGCAACTGTGGTTCAGATGGAGTAGGGGATTTGCCCAAGGTCACTCTCGAGTAAGTGGGAGAATCATGATTTGACCCTATGCCCCTAATGACAGGTAGTTCTGCCTGCCCTTGGTCTCAAAAGGCAACTTCTACCCAAGAGCTACACCATACTCTGCCATCACTCCCAAAAGAAGTCCCTGTTCACAAACACTCACCCACAGAGTACAGTACCTTGGTATTAGGGTTTCTCTGAGGCAATGAAGAAGCCTGGGACAAAGTATCTACCTAGTAACCTCCTGGCAGATAACCTAAGAACTTTCTATTAATGTAGAAAGAAAGAAATTTAAAATCAGATAAATGTGAACCTTACGCTATTGGTTATTGGCTACTTGTAACCATTTACATCGCATTTTAAGGAAAAGAGTTTTCACAATGATTTCAAAGAAAAGATTGTTTCCTTCTAAGTATCCACCGGGGATTGGTTCCAGGACACCCGCGGATACCAAAATCCGAGGATGCTCAAGTTCCTTATATAAAATGGCGTAGTATTTGCATATAATCTACACACATCCTCTTGTATACTTTAAATCGTCTCTAGATTACTTATAATTACTTATAATGTAAATGCTATATAAGTAGTTGTTATATGGTACTGTATTGTTTAAGGAATAATGACAAGGCAGGAGGTGAATAATGCTCAAACAACAAGCTCTGGGGAGAGACTGAGGATCTGTGAATTGGCGAGAGGCTACAGCTGGGGATGCCTACACATCACTTCATTCAGGAGGATTCAGCATAGTGTCCGCGTGCAGCAAATTCTAGTTTTACTTTTCGGAATTTTTTTTTTTTTTAATATTGTCAACCCACGGTTGGTTGAATGTGCAGATGCGGAACCTGCTAATACGGAGGGCCGA